TGACTTGTTATTTTGTTTTCGAATTTGTCATTGTGTTTTCTGACTTGTTATAATGTTTTCTGAATTGTTGTTGTGTTTTCTGAATTGTTTAGTTTTTTAGATTTGCATTTGCGTTTGTAATTTATTTTGTTTTCAGAATTGTAATTTGCTTTGCACTTCTCGGTCACCGTAGATTTCATGTGATTATGTATTTATGCATGAATGTTCCCAAACACTATGACAGCGCGATCTCTATGTGAGATATGTGATTGTTGTCATATTTCTATAAAAAACAAGCCTAATATAAGTGCTGCAGCATAATTTGCCAAATGTTCCGTCCCTTCTTCCCCCCCATTGGAGAAAAATCACTTCAAAAAGAAGGCGCATGGGGTGACTTTCTTTTAGCCTAATTTTACATTTTTACAATGTTTTTGTAATGATTTAATTATCACAGGATGTAATAAAAAACAATCAGTCATTCTTGAGACATGGGACAAAACAGGTCCAGCAAGGGTAACTGCTATTAGGTTTAAAAATAAAAATATTTTCAATTTTAAATGTCATGAGGGATTAATAATAGAATGTATTTAACACAATTATCACCTTCAATCTTTGTTCCCCCTTTTGTTGCAGTTTGCTGATTTTTGTAACATAGTTTTGCTTTTCAGATAAAAGAGTGGTTTCAGTTTAATATGTTGCAGGCTCATTGATTGGTAATAAATAATTGATAATAAATAGATATTGATGATAATAAATCATCCAAAAAATATTGGGCTTGTTTTGGGCTTGTTTTTAAAGCTGCGGTTGCTTATTTGTCTCGCGAGATTTGGCAACAGTGCACCACACGCATGCGTCGCTCGCTACTCTTGTGAATGGCCGCGGAGACTGACACGGAAGAGAAGAAATCATTGAATAAGTCATTATTTTTGTTTTCTTTGTGCACAAAAAAGTATTCTCATAGCTTCATAAAAATACTGTTGAACCACTGATGTCACATGGACTATTTTAACGATGACTTACTATGTTTCTGGGCTTTGAACGTGGTAGTTTGCTTGCGGTCTATGCAGGGTCAGAAAGCTCTCAGATTTCATCAAAAATATCTTAATTTGTGTTCCGAAGATGAACGAAGGTCTTACGGGTTTGGAACGACACGAGGGTGAGTAATTAATTCATTTTTGGGTGAACTATCCCTTGAAGATTGTATGTAAACATTACCTGAAAGACTACATATAATATTAGTATTAGAAATGTAATTTGTCATACTGCAGGAGATCTTTAAATTTAACTAGAGAAGGTAGAAAGGTTAAAAACAAAAAGCCTAAAAGAAATGACAAGTAACAGGACCTACACAGTAAGATATACACTTTCCCTTAAATATTCATATAAATGTTAAACTTAAATCTTGAAATAATAAACATTTTTTAATTATTATATTTTAGTAAATAATTAATTATTATTAGTAGTAGTAGTAGTAATTAGTAGTGGTGGTAATAACATTAAACAACAAGTTGGTCATATGCTGTCAACATGGCAACCCCCATAAGGGGGCGACTTGCTCCATGTAAAATAAAACAGCTTTTTCTGTCACTCACTGATATGACTGAAATCTACATAATCAATATAAAGTGCATGCATATCGTTTAACTATATATGCACACATATATATGTACACATATTTCTCAAAAGTGCTATTTGTTTCTTTATGTATGAACCTTTTGTAATGAGCAAAAAGTCTTAAGTGTATTGATATAAAGTTGCTAATTTATGAAGTTATTACTTTAATACCATCATCAAATCAACATAGGTTTATAGGCCAATAAAATGTATTACATGAATTGTCTTAAATGTAAATCTGGAAACTTTAGACACATTACCTGACAGGAGTGGGTGTCGGGCCCTTAACATGCCTCACAGGAGAGGGAGACTGCTGGCGAGCAGCTGACACTTTAGTCACTTGTGAAGGGGGGGATTTGGAGGTTGGTTTAGGCGGCACACGAGGTGGAGTCTTATGTGCCAGCTGTTTGGTCACAACCCCACCCTCTACTTGCATGTGCATCATGGCTGTGGCCTCATAATGAGCTTCCATCCTCTGTTAGAAAGAAAAACATAACAATTTACGCATTGATCTAAAGGCTTAATGAGACTTGTGTTGCTTTCTGAAAGACTGCGGAGGCTTATTCAATGTTGAGACTGTCACTCACCTTCTCCACTCTAGTCTGTCGGGTCTGTGAAATCTGAGAGGCTGAAATAATCGTTTTTGGCTTCTTTGCAGGTACAGCTTCTTCTTCGCCTGTGAATTATTAAAGAAAATCTGGTCCAGGCATTTTTTTCATAAAAATAAAAATGCATGCAACAAATGTTCTCCAGCTAAAAATCTTACCCTGAACAAGCAACTCAGCAGTTGAAGTTGCACGTCCACTGCTGTTAGAAGCACTGACAGAATAAGTTCCAGAATCTTCTGGGAAGGCCTCGGCAATCAACAAACTGTAAAGGTCTCCGTCTTGAACAATCTGAAAGTCAGCAGAGCTCTGAATCTCAGCTCCCTCTCTGTAGAACTTCACCACAGGTGTAGGGATTCCTGTCACTCGAACATCTAGTCTCACTTGACTCCCTTGTCTCACAGTCATACTCTGTAGTCTCTGAATGAAGTTTGGTGGCGCAGTTTCAGCTGGAAGTGAATAGATGGTTAAAGCCATTAAGTCATTTTTCTGAAATTTAACAGAGCAGTTTCACACATTCTATTTTAGAGGATAAAATAAACCTTGCCTTGCATGTTCAATATAAATGCTCATAAATCTATTTTAAAGAGACCTTTAAATTATTTTTAAAAGAAGATTTTCATTTCCTGAAGAAAATATTAGTGCTTGCAAGACAGCAAAAGTTGTACATTCAGATGGATATTATCAAAGTTAAATACTTTCTTTACAGTTTACAAACACCAAAAATAGACAGCACTATTAGCACAGATAATGTATTTTTAGAAGACTGAAATTACCCAAAAAACAAAGGTTAAATGTACGTTATTAAAGCTAAAATAATTCCAGAAAATTGTGGAGAAAGAAGAAGAGAAGTTATAGAAAATATGAGAATATCAATTTACAGTGTGGGAATAATAAGATTACCTTTACTCTGACAATTTAAGGGAATTTTCAGTCCTTTCTTTTTAAAATTTTTGCGATACAAATAAGAATTAAGTCATAAATAATGGTAGTAGATATATTTTACAGATGTACTGTACCCCAGTAAAATACTGATAAATTCTTGTCTGATGGTGGAGATTACCGTATATACCAACCTGATAATCAACTCATTTTTCCTGATAATATTTAAGCAATACCATCATGTGTATGATTATCAACTGTTTAGAATCAGAACTAACGAATCAACGGATGTTTAAATTTCATGTCTTTTGTAGCGTCTCACTCACGACAAGGCGTTCAAATAAATTCAACTTATTAAACTTACTTAAAAAAAAACTCGTCTCTACACTAAAATTTTATTTAAAAATGTTGTTAAACCTGTATATACTTGTAAATGTTTTTTGCTTGGACTCCCTGGGTAAGGGGCTGGGGTTCAAGGCTTTATTAAAGGGGTCAGATCCCCCCAAAACCCCCATATTTCAATCCCCTGTCAATACAGCGCCACCTTTCAAGCACTGTAAAAGGTGACACACATTCCTTTCCATAAATTCCCCTAGCAATGGTAGCCTGGATGTGTCATTTAACAGTATCACTGGAGATCTTTACCACTTTCTATAAGAAGTAACAGTCATTAACTTTATGAGCCTAGCAGTTAATCCACATATTTGCTTACTGTCGCTCTACTCAAAAGCACCAGAATACAGAGGGGGAATTCATGACTCTTATTTGATAACTGCTACAAATTAAACTGTAATCACTTCAATCATTATCCAGCAAGGCAGATAACATTTGAGTGCAGTAGCACAAATTTTAGTAGTATTTTGGCAGGAAAACTTATGAGTGTTTTTTTTTTTTTTCCCTCTCTAATGACAATAGCTAAAATCAAGTTGCATGTTATGTTGTGATGTTACCTGTAACCAGCAGTTCAGCAGTGCTAGTGGCTTGTCCAGCACCATTGGTGGCTCTCACAGAAAATCTTCCACTGTGTGCGGCTGTCACAGCGGGGATCATCAGAACAGCGCGGCCATCGCTGAACGAGATCTGAGCGCCGGGCAGAGCGGCAGCAGTAAGAACCTGGCCATCACGAAACCAGCTCACCTCTGGAACTGGATTACCTGTGGATTATATTATCAAATATTTTATCTAGGCTTTGACACATACGTTTCTTAATCCATAGTCAAAATTCATGTCCCCTTGGTGGATAGAAAGATGGAGCTGGAGGCCCCTGTTGCATATTGTATTGTATTTAGTGTTTCATTTTAATTCTGAACTGAACATGCATATAGTATCATAATAATGCATTTATTACATAGCTTTATTATGATGCTGAAACATTGCATATTCAAATAAATAATTTACTGCATTTTATTTGTGGGCTAAAGCTAAACTTGAGCTTTTTTATGAATGAATTGTTTTTTTTATGCATTTATTTTTATGAATGCATTTTATTGCATTTATTTGTATGATTTTTTTTGCTTTCATTTATTTATACATAAAAGTAATTTATGAAATTTTTTGAGATCAAACAATAATGGCTGAATCCCCTGCGGTGCTTCTGCAGACCCCCTTTGGAAAACCCCGATTCAGGTAAACTCATAAATGCTAAGTCATGTAAATCTGCAGCATTGTGTAAACACAAACATTCCTTTAACTTATTTCACGTTGTACACTCAGGTGTAAAAGAGTCAAGAAGAATACATATCAGCAATGGAATGGCAAAGTGGGAAACATTCTTACCACTAACTTGAGCTTCGAACGTTGCAGCACTACCCTCAAGTGCCACAACGCTCTGAAGCGGCTGTGTAAATGTTGGTGCCTGTGTCGACATGGTGGAAGGCACCCTAAAGGAAGACATAGAATAAAATGATAGTTATGGCATAGAAAAAAATAGCTTAATTCAAAAAAACAAAAAAAATACAAACAGTACTTTTAGCTGTGTCCATCATTAGTTTGATCCCTGACAACCTGGTAGAAGCTGGCCTGTCACTTGAGATTCAATAGCTCCACTGGGTGTTAGGCCAAAACATTTGGGCCTCATATCAACTGACAGCTTATGGGACATGACAGTAACAACTGGTGCCTGTGGCCCGCGGTGAGATGTTTTTCCGGCATGACGCATAATTAAGAATAGCCCTCCAGTTATAAGTCAGACAGTCCTGTATCATCAAATCTTGTCACGACCAAAAACAAATCTAAATCAGTGGCTTACGCATCTTAATTCAACTTGTGATTCATTGTCAATGCTGAATTGAACAACTGGTCTTCTGCCAAGCAATACTAAGATTTTATTCATAAACATACTACATAATCACATAATCTTAAACTGTAAGGTTTAAATGCTCTGCATTTAAGAATCACAAGTATTGAATGTCTGAAGAAGAAAAAAAGTTATTTGAATAAGAGAACTTATAATTAGAATTTAAAATGGCTGACAGGAACTGCTAGATGCATGACCTTTACTTAAAATAGATAGAACAACTGTGACTGAACTGAATTCAGATATAGTTCATATGGAAGTAATTATATTACTGTAAAAGTACTGCTATGTTTGTATATAATAAATAGGGTAGTTACCTGGATAGCTATCACTAAATAGTTTGATACTACATACAGTATCTTAGATCATTTACATAATTAAATTCATAAAGATAGATCAAAATGAAAACTTCAAATGAAAGCATTGCTTTGAAATATACAACCACAACAACATCTCTGTACTTTTATTGCACTTTTTAACAAGACTAGCACTTCATGTTTCAGGCAGAATAATTTGACATACATTATCATTTATTAAATTGTTTAAAAATAAATGATATCATCCTGTGAATGGCTTAACCATAGCAATAATTTAAAGGTGCAACCAAGTTCACCAATATCAAAAATAATTCTTGTAGACGTTAGCAAACACCCCATATATCAACTTCAAGAACCACAACCTGAAAATCACAGACTTAAGATCATCAGTACAATAAGGCTGAAGTTTCTAAAAACAACTTTAAGAAAATCCATTTAAACTGCAATTAATGTCCCAAGCACACCAAACCTAGTGTCACAAAAGGAATCCTCTAAAAATAGTCAGTACTAAGCTTGATTGACAGTCACCATGTGGCACATAGCTGGAGGTGCAACTGATATCTCTGCTGCTGATTCCCTTAAAAAGACATCATGGCCCAGCTAGGACACCACTCTAATGTTATCACAGGCTATTCTTGGCTATTCTGAAATCACAGCACCATTTAATAACCTTTAGAAATGAAACCTCTTAAGTCAAAAGCAAATGAAAATGTATTCTAATTGCTTAAAATCTGTCCCCTTCCTACTAAATCTCTCAAAGTGAACATCAAATTTGGTATTGCCACTCTGTTTCTTTGTTAGAAGCACACAAAAAAAGCATCATTAGAAAGCATTGCACTGACACATGGGTACACAAAGCGTACTTACTTGTATCCACAAGAGTGCCTTGAATTGGAGGGACGGAGCCCAAAGGGTTTTGTCTTCTGAAACAAAGTCCTTATCCAGATATGATTTCAGAAAACACAGTGTGAGAACGGTTGAGCCTCGAACTATCCCCAAAAAACAAAACTACACAGGGTCTTAGCCGTGTAGTTTTGCTTTTTCCCTTGCAATCCCTACACCCGAGGCAAGGCTGGGAATGCTCCAACTGCTCAGAAGTGTTAACATGGTGGTTTTACTTTATATACCCCTTGGCTAATCAGCATCATCACTACATTGCCATGCCCCATTGGCCGTCCCCCATGAGGCATCATGGGAGGTAGAAGCCATTTTATGCAAGCTCACACCTGTCACCCACTTTACTTAACACAACGCAGGACCCATTATCACAGGGTGGCTGAAACCCCCACACCTAAAGAAACAGGAAAATGCCCCTCAGAAAGAGAGAAATCTTCACTTGCTTTATCTCATAAATTAATCAATCACTGTAACAACATGTTGATCCTCAAGAAGTGAAAAACCAAATGGGGGAGAAGGGCTGTCACTGTCACTCAGACTCTGGGTGTACGAGATAAACGATAAACAGTGTTTACCCATCTGTTTTTCTTTCTTTTATCTGTATAGTGAGGCAAAAGTGATTGCTAATGCTTTGAAAAACAGAAGTTGATATTGATTATTAACGTTACCATCATTGTGGGACCAAGTTGGTTTTGCAGCAAAAATTTAAAAAACTGACAGAGGAGACGGTGTTAAAGATAGGCAGTGACATGTAAGAGTGGAATGCATGACTAGTGATAGCACTGACAAGGACTTTTGTGAGACAACAATCTAATGACAAAATGTGACAGCTTTAACTATAACAAATCATATAGCTTGATATAGCTAATTTGTCTTCATTCATACCTCATACATAAACACTTACATGTATAAAGATCAATTCATGATGAATTTGACAAATTTGTCCACTTTCAGCCACAAGCACTGAACAACTTAGTCACAGCTGTTTTTAAGTTGTTTATTTTTGTTCAGAATGTGTATATGACATTTATTGGTATTGGATACAGAATACTTTTGCAAGGCAATGTATACCAACTTATCAGTAGCAAACAACAGTGTTACAGATATTATAATTAGGAATAATTCACAAAGAATGAGAAGATCAGGCTCGGTCAACTCTGATATCCAAAGTTTTTCCCCTAAACAGTATCTGATGAGTGATAATGGGTTTTCCAGATCCTTCTTATACAGTATGTTCCATAATCAGTGGCCTTTATGATGGTTTTGGCTTCTGTTAAAAAAAAATGTATTTATTTATTTTAATGTGTCTATTGTACCAGTGGACACATTTTCTTCCTTCCATTATGTCCCTCTCAAAAGTATGGTGACAATGAAACAATTGCAGAATGCTAGTGGTTTCAGACTTTGTATGCTGTTTGACTCACTTGGCTCTCATCACATGCTGCAACATTATAATCTTTCTTGCATAGCATTTGAGAATAAGTGCAGTGTGAGCTGAGGTCTTCTTCCACTAATACATTTTGTTCATCCGGTCTGGAGAGGAAGCGTGGAGTGACCCTGTGCACTGAGGAAATCAGGTTACATTGTGATTTACTGCACTGAAAAGATGAAGCAGGAATGATCACATCATTATCTCAAACAAAAAACGGGCTAACAAAGCTTTTATAATTCAAAAAGGGTTGTCATACTCCAGCTTGAGCCTCAATAAGCATGCGTTGGTTTTTCAAAGCTGCCTTTATTGTTTACTGTTGGGAAAGAAAAGCAGTAAGTAAAGAAGTAAAGTTAAAAGTTATGTCTGTGCGACAGCTGTTTCTGAATCAGGGGTGTGGAATGACGCCTCAGACACCTTCTCAGTAGGGCGACATAGCAGGGAAGCAAAGGTGTAACCTGAGAGCCCTGAGTTATGCTGTGTGTGATAACATATATAACTGAGTGATTTAGTTATCTTTTATCATCGTAATCATGAAAAGTTCAGTAAATATAACAAAATAGAACAAATGTTAACACCAGATGTATAGTTCCCCCAAAATGCTAAATTCTGTCATCACAATTCTATTTCTTCTGTTGAACACAAATGAAGATATTTGGAAAAAATTTCTTTATTTGATTTGATTTTTTTTGGACCCCATTTAGTTTAATTGTATGGCCAAAAAACAACAACAAAACTATATATGCGTGTGCGTGTGTGTGTGTGTGTGTATATATATATATATATATATTATTATTTTTATTTATTTTTGGACACGAGGGAAAGTAAATGAAGCCCGAATTTTCCTTTTTGAACCATTTAGAAATGGGTTTGTTTAAAATGAACACACAAAATCTTTAAAAATAAATAATTTAATTGTAAAATGCTGACCAAGGCTTCATTACCATCACAAAGGGAACTGCATGCAGATCCACTGCTACTTCCATAATATAATAGGAAAAATACAAAATAATTCAGTTCATGCTGAATTTGAATATTGCAAAACATTGTTATAGTGATTTTAGTGTTCATAGCCAAAATGAACAAATCTGTGGGTAGTTGATGCATGTCAATTATATATAAAAAAGAACAATTAACAACAAAAATGTATGTTAAAATTTATGAGTGTATACTGTATATAAAATATATATTTAGGTCCTGTGCCTAACCACCATTTCAAAACACTTTTTGCCTTCACTAGTTCACCGAAAGGTCCTACAGTGTGACAGATTAATTTGTAAAACTACAAATATTCAAATGTAGTCTTTCAAACAATATCATAAGAGCTGCATGCATTATAATTCTAAAATAATTACTAAACTGCTAGTTTAGAATAGTTTTAGATGAAGTTTCATATCAACTACTCATGTGCTCTTACATTTGTGCAGTCACCAAAGACAGTTAATTCTGTGCACACCAATGGTTATGTGACGTGAAGAAAGTTTAAAAGTGAAGAGTCCACGTCCATGTGTTTTTCCTTATGTTAATGGCAGTGTCCATTATAACAACAGCAGATAGAGAAGCCACAAGAAGAAACAGAGGGTGCCGAAGCAGGTGTGCCAGTCCAGTTTGAGAATGTCTAAGTCAGGGCTGTTGTTACCTTTGACCTGCAGCATGGAGCTGGACGTGACAGTGCCAGCTGAGTTTGAGGCAGTGACCACATACTGCCCAGAGTCTCTCACTGCAGAGCTGTGAATGAACAATGCATGTTTGCCTTCTTTATGGGATAGTTCTATGTGCTCATCATTGGCCAGTTTGTGTCCATTCTTGAACCTGAACAAAGAGCGAATTATTATGTGTCACAATCACACCACAACAACAAAAAAAAAAAGGTGGGCGGCGGCGGCACACATTAATACACACTCAATGAAAGAGAAAATATGAGGTAATGTTAAAGTGGAAGGCCCTACAGAAGTTACATTAAAAGGAAGGTTTAGAGAAAGGAATTGTGGATTAATAAGTTAGTATACATGGAATATATGCATGACAGTGGAAAAAATTGTTCAAATGAAATGAGATCAAAATTAATGGAGAAAACATCAACTTTCCTCAACAAACCTGCTTCATGCAGGCAGACAACAATATATATGTATATATTTGTTAATCTATCTGAACTACAAATACTATGCTTTGTGATTAATTAAGTTTTTAACAACTGGAATATCGATCAGTATGTTGTATAATGAGAATTTGCCATCCATTTAGATACAATAGCATTTAGATTATTAATAATCCCTATATATTACACTACCGTTCAAAAGCTTGCTGCTGGTACAATTTTATTTTGTTAAAAAGAAGTCTCTTATGCTCACCAAGGCGGCATTTATTCGATTTATTTGATTAAAAAAAACTGTAAAAACATTAATATTGTGACATATATTACAAATTAAAGTAACCGTTTTCTATTTGGATATATTTTAAAATAGAATTTATTCCTATAATGGCAAAGCTAATTGTTAAGCAGCCATTACTCCAGAATTACATGATCATTCAGAAAACATTTTAATATGCTGATTTGTTGCTCAAGAAAGAAAGATTTGGTGCTTTCTTATTACTTACTGACCCATTTGAACAGTAGTAAATATCATATTGTATTATATTATTTAAATGTGTAATAATATATATTATTAATAGATATTAATATTAATATAGAATATTATATAAAGAAATAATGCCTAGTTTCCTCCAATTAGCAAAGAATGTTTTAAATTATGGGTCAAGTTTGTTATAAGCTACCCACCAGGTTAATGTAGGCTCAGGGAATCCAGTGACTTCCACCTCCAGGGTCACCGGAGAGCCCTCCATTACTGTGGCATTAGACAAGGGTTTGGAGAAGTTAGGGCCTGTGCCGCCTGCCGATATTCCCATAACCTTTTTGGAAGATGCCCGTCTGATCTCCTCTCGGATGGCTGTGGGCTTGCAGAGATCCGAGTCCTGCTCTGTGGTTAATGGAGTAGGGGTAGCATGCGTGTTATTGGGCCGACCTAGACACGTACTAGAATCATGCACACACTTTTGCATCTCGGTACGACTCTCATGCACTGAGTGAAGTGTTTCAGTGATGCTGCTTGGTGGTGGGTTGCCAGATTTGCTTTTTAAGATGCTGGATATGGTGTTTGATACAAGGCTAGGGGCAGGTACTGTGAGGGGACTTTGAACAAAAGAGGACGACTCTGCTCTGAACCTGGCCTCCAAGCCAGTGGTGGGAGATGGGTAGCTCTCGGCCTGACTCGACATCCACTCCCGCTGCCTCTGGTGTAGTGTGTCGCCGTGCTGGGAGTGAGACTGGTGGCTGTACTGGTTAATGCGAAGGCTGTGAGAGCTCACACAATAGCCGTCATCAAGGTCATTTTCTGACTGAATAATGTTGGATTCTGGAGTCTCGGATAAAGGAGGTAGGGAGATGTCATCTGGGGAGGTGCATTCGTACTCATCATTGGAGAGCGATTCCTCAGTGAGATGGTCAGGCTGGAAGTCATCTTCAGGTACAGGAGCTGCTGGCTCTGGTGTCGCATGTGGCAAATATTCCTCCTCTAAAGAATGATGAGCAGAAGTCTAGAAACGAAAAGAACAGAAAATCTGTAATTATCCCTGTAATATCATTTTGTGTTGCCATTTTTTGTTAGTTAGCATTTAAAAGTACCATTAGAAAATGCACTAAACACAAAAATCTGCTTTAAAATATTAAACAATTAAGTGTTTTTCGAGCTTAAATATATTATACTGATATACAAAATATACAATTATTCTATTAAAAATAATTCATGTGATTAGTGTATAATTTATAAAAGAGTATATGCATTTTACATGTCCACAGAAGCAATAGAAATTATTACAAATATTTCTAAAGTCAAGATATTGATGTAAAATGTATGTTTTAAAAATGTATATAAAATTCATGTATAATGTATATAAAGGAACAAAATATCTATATTTATAAGGAACACAAAATATCTAAGCAACAATACTGTTTTCAACATTGATAATAATTAGAACTGTTTCTTGAGCACCAAGTAAGCATATTCCATCACAAGAATAAATTAAATTTTGAAATATATTAAAGTAGAAAAAATGTAATATTTCATTTAAATTTTTTACTGTATTTTTGATCAAATAAATGCTGTGTAAGAGACTTCTATCATATTACAAAGCAGTAATTTTAACTAATACAGCAATTATTAGTTTCCGTAAATATTTTCCTGTCACACCACTTATTTACTACAAAATAACAGTGAACTATAATTTTAATTGACAAAACAAACACAGCTTGAATTTTCAGAGGAGCCAAAACACACATAAGAGACTTATTTAATAAGTATTTAATTTTATTGTGTCATAAGTCATATTTGTTGATTGTTGAATGTAGCCATTTTGGTTTTAAATGTTCCACCCTATCACATATTCATATTATCCCAACATATTTACTTACCTTGTAATGTAATTTAATAGCACTTTCAAAATAGGCCTATTCTTTGTCTAAAAAAAAGATTAAAATCTTACCAACTTGAAATTTACTAAATTAACAAATAAATGGGAAATGACTCTGTGTCAAAAGAAGGCTCACCTTGGAATATGAGTGAAAAGGATGATTTCTACTACAGGCCTGATTCTTGTCCTCAGAGTTGGTCTTTTGAACAGCACACTGCAGCTCCCTTTGGATGTCTATGATGCTGGGGCGTGATACGCCTGGATCCCGCGGAGGTGGGGTTTCTTGTGAGTCTCTCTTGGTTTGCTGCAGAATGTGACTCCTCTTATCCCGCTCTGCTGGGGAATGGCTTACATTAATGGTGTGGGAGTGAGAGAAAGAGGTGTGCATCTCTTCTCTCCTCTCTATAGTAGATTTGCTCGTGATGGTCTCCGCTTCGCTGGTCTTAGAAAAGGCCTCCTGTGTGTACAACCTGGTCTCTGACAGCACTTTTTGATGCTCTGGATGATGTTTGTCTGGGAGATCTTGGCATTGTGTCTTGCGAAGCTGAGGTTTCTTGTTTTCTGGATTCTTGCCGACAGGCCTCTCTTTAGTACAGTGTGGGCCTGTCATCTCAGGGGTATGTCCACTTTCCTTTGGTTCAGGCTGAAATGGTAACGAGAAAAAGCTATGGCTTAGGGTTGGGTTATTTTTCGAATATTCATGATACATTTGCAGTGTTTTTGGTGATTATATAAAATTAAACAACACTGAATAATGCGATGATTTAAATGCTCTCTTTTTTGTTTACTTTGTTTCCTTAAGACGGTCAATACACTGGTTTTATGCTCCTTGTCTTGTAATTAAACTTGAGAGTTTGTATGTCAGTGTGATTCATTTCTGTGAATATGTTTAATGAATCAATTCAAAACTCTAATAATGACTCTTTCAGATCATATACATCAAATATTCACATAATTATGTTATATTATTATTATATTTTTACTATATTTTATTGAAATCGAACTTTAATTGTAATTTACCGCAATAAAATTTTTGGATGAGCAATATAAAGGATGATGTATTTCTGCCATCTTTGCAATTGCAAGTCAAAGTGTTATTGGTGTTTACCGTATCAATGGTGTCCCGTTTGTTGTTGTCTTCAGGTGTTAGAGGCTGTTTCAAGGTCTCCAACTACATAAAGAATTCATAGAAAAATATCAACAGAACTATATTTTATATTTATATATATATATATATATATATATATATATAAAACTCTCAGATTAATGTACCAAATAAAATAATTATGTTTGACGTTTTCATCACCTGAAGTTTGGCCTCAAGGTCCAGCAGTCCATTTGACAGTTCTTTTATTGATTCCACAATTTCATGGTGTTTGTTGATTGTTTTCTCCATATATTTCTTTCCTTCTTCAGCACCTACATTAAAAACAGCAGTCATGCTTTGAGGCCAGCAACACTACTACAACTTAATAAATAAACATTATTATCCCTTAATATTATTTATGTAACTTTTTATTGGAAGTTTCACATTTGAAAAGAGCATGTCATTTTGGGTTTTGAATGGATCAGAGAAACATAAGGGATTTTAAGTGGTTAAAACAATTAATGCCAAAATTGCTGCTATTACTTTTATACTTATATTTCAGAATGCATTCTTAATTTCTCACCATGTAGCCTTACTGCCAGCTCTGTGATCTGGCTAATTCTCTCCTCTTGCTGTGGGATTGTGGGCCACACAAATTTTTCAAACTGTTTGTAGAGAGAGCTGACTGCTTCCTTAGTCTTACACTGAGAGGAATATTTACCCACACGTACAATTGTGGAGCTTGCTTCGTCGCACCAGAACTGATACTGTGTTTAAAATGAAAGGTGAGAGGAGAGACTATTTTCAGAGACTATTTATAGCCATTTACTGTGATACTACTTTAGAGTCATACATGAGCAAAGCATATTCAATTTGTTTTCTATTTAATTTAGCAGCATTATCAATGGAATGATCTGAAAGTCAACAGAAATACAAGTAAAATTGCTGCTGAATTGTGATAGTAGCTCCTATTGGCTCATTACATGTTCCTGGCGTACCCCACCTCCTCTAAGGCTTGCTGGAGCTTGACATTCATGTCCAGGTTCTGTTTGTACTCCTCACTTGCAAGAAGAATAAATGAAAGCCTCCTTACCTGTAGTTTTTCAATGTAAATCTCAATTTGCTGGATCTGATTTTTCACTGCCTTTAAGTTTCTCGACTTCTCATTTTTCTTCATGTAGTTGAATTTCAAATTGTTGAATTTCTTTTTGAGATCTTTAAAGGACTCTCTCAGCTTAAAAAAAAATAGGAAAAATTTTAATGTAGCAATAGAAAATCATGCAAAGAACCACTGAAAGACAGCTAACGGTTAAAGGGATAGTTCACCCAAAAATGAAAATGTGATGTTTATCTGCTTACCCCCAGGGCATCCAAGCTCCACCGTCCTGTCAAAATCGCCCACCTGTCTCTGCAGCTCATTTAAGGCATCCTCAATCTCTTTGAGGCTGTTGCCAATTAAATGCCTCTCACTGCTGCTGGATACTTTCAGAGTGAAGGCATGCAGCTTCTTCTTCAAAACCTACAACAGGGAGGGATTTGGATATTACATTTTATAAATAGACTACTGTTAAAACATTAAAAGACAAAGAAATCTCCTGTATAATTCTGTCACTGCTGAGTGAAGATCCTCAAAATACATATACAGTATACAATCCTCTGATTTACTGAATTGTCCGAACTGTCCTGAGCACGTTCGCATCTTCTTCTTCAGCCGGCGCCTGACGCATCTTCTTCTTCTTCTTGCTTTATGGCGGATCGCAGACTTATAAGGGGATTACCACCATTTGTTTGTGTATGTTTTTTTGACTCTCAAACCCGTGATTCCCATTCACTACATTATATGACTGACAGACTGCAAAGGTTTGAGTTAAAAAAATCTTCGTTTGTGTTCTACTGAAGAAACAAAGTCACCTACATCTTGGATCCCCTGGGGGTAAGCAGATAAACATCAAATTTTCATTTTTGGGTGAACTATCCCTTTAAAGAAGAAAATAGTGATCATGATCATGCTCAAAAAAAAAAAGGTGAAAGTATCTCAAAAGTAATACATACTGTTAATATTTCCTATAATGGCTTTGTATAAGGACTAAAATGTTTTTGTTTGTTACTGCTGAATAATGTGCTATTCTGAAGGCTAATGTGAAATTTTAAGAGCATCATCAGAGGGGAAGATTTCCAGTGATTTAATTTTAGGCTGAACTATCCCTTTAAAACACCTCTCTAACAACACAGTGTCATCCTCTTCAACATGCTGATCAGGAAATGTGTAAGCAAATATAATAGCGTAATCAAATATTAGATTAGGTGTGGATGGATATGGGGAGGGTCTCTAGCAGAGGGCAGAGTGAGGTTTGGCTGAGTCCAGGGAGATTATTTTAGAGGTATTAATTGTCAGACCAGTGGATGATTTATAATGCAGATCCATTTCTGTCCAGCCTGATGAGCTTTTGCAATGGTGTCGTGTCTCCAAATGACAGGCTCAAGTGTCACCCAAGGACAGCTGCAGCCCAGCGTCTAGAGCCAGTTAAAGAGGCCTCACAACTGTCTTACTGAACTTTTCCAACAGAGGGCTGTAGAGCAAGTTTCTGCTGCAGCCCAAACAGAGGGATGCGTGCGAAGGAAAGTTCAGATACATTCATATTGTATGACTTTCACACGGCTTAATTGTGCTCAGTTAACATTTATGGCAGCTGTTTCTCAGTGCCTTGTGATCTGTAAAACAAGGAATGAGGTGTCCCTGCAGACCAAACTGGCGAATCTGGTGAAATCGTCACTGAAATTTGACTTCTAAATCAACTCATCTAAAAATATAAGTGGATCAATGCGACTACGATAAAATAATAGCCATTTGTAGTCTATGAAAGCTGGACTGTGAGAGCGAAATAGAGACAGTGAGAGAAACAGTCTCACTTCTCCTCGCAGATGAACAGCAGCAACTGTCCAAGGTGAAATGTCAGCTTGTTTACTCATGCATATTTATGACTGGGTGGTGGTTTGACTGGTATGACTGACAACATATGGTGACTCACATTGACATGGAATTAGAAATGGTTGAGTCATGCCCTTTTCAAATGAACTATAAATTATCACAAATAATCATCTCACAAATGTGAAGTATTCTTTCAGTTTCTACTGTTGATCTTTGTTTTTCACTGTTGAACAGTAGTGTACACAACTCATTTCATAAGACAGCTTTGAAAGTAATGCCAGACTGACTGTAAGTACTGCTACTTTTAGATATGTCCTTGCTCTATTTAAAGTCTTGCAGCTGTCATACATTCTTATAGCATGACAGCACGTGACATATGGAAACTCGGATATGTTTAAGAAGCTTTGAATTCTACTCTAATTGAAGAGTATGAATAAGAATTGAGCTTTACATAAAGAGACCCATGAGCTGCATGGGTTCAATACAATTCATGTCTTTGTGTGAAATCTCCTCATGGAAAGATAAAAGAATATTTGAGTATATTTTATTAATTCAGTTCCCATCATTATTATTATGCTCTCTATCCATCTATCTGCAGAATGTGACACGCCTCAGCACAATTATAGTTGTAGTTATATACCCTTCCAACATGTTATAGTTCCAAGCAATTATTAAAAAGGTCTAAAACTGTGGTTTTCAACCTTTTTGTCTACAGTGACCCCCATTGTACACAACAATATTTGAAGGCTGCATGACTTCGCCAGTTGTTTTTTTTTAAAGGGTTAGTTCACTCCAAAATTAGGCTGCGTTTTACTCACCCCCGAGGCATCCTAGGTGTATATGACTTTCTTCTTTCAGAAGAATCCAGCCGGAGTTATATTAAAAATTGTCTTTGATCTTTCAAGCTGTTTAATGCCACTCAGCGGGTGTTGCATTGCTTCAGTCCAAAAGAACTTAAATAAAAATCGCCCATCCATAAAAAAAGTGTCTCACA